TTCTGTCCACAGGCCGACACTCTATCACTGAGCCAAACTGGCCAGGGCACAAGGCCACTCTTTCAACTCAAAGGAGACTTAACAGCTACCCAATACATAGAAACGAACACAGGGAAGCAGCCAAAATGCGGAGACAAACATGTGACAAATGAAAGAAATGGAAGAAAGCAAATTACTCGATATAGAGTTCAAAACAGTTATTAGGTTACTCAAGAATCTTCTAGAAATCTCTGAGGAACTTAGTGAGACTTTTAAGGATCTTAGTGAAAATTAAAAAAATTAAAATAAAATTAAAAAAAGATGGAAAAGGACCAGACCAGTCAGAAATTAGCATACACTGACTGAAATAAAGAATAATATACAGGGATTCAACAGTAAATTTGAGGATCCCAAGAATCAAATCAATGATTTGAAATACAAGGAAGCAAAAAACACCCAACCAGAAGAGCAAAAAGAAAAAAGAGTAAAAAAAATATGAAGATGCCCTGACCGGTTTGGCTCAGTGGATGGAGCCAGGTTCGATTCCAGTCAAGGGCATGTACCTTGGTTGTGGGCACATCCCCAGGAGGGGGTGTGCAGGAGGCAGCTGATCGATGTTTCTCTCTCATCGATGTTTCAAACTCTTTATCCCATTCCCTTCCTTCTGTAAAAAATAAATAAAATATATATTTAGAAAAAATGAAGATAGTGTAAGGAGCCTTTGGGACAACTTCAAGCATACCAACATCTGGATTTTGGGGGTGCCAGAAGAAGAGAGAGAGCAAGATACTGAAAACCTACTTGAAGAAATAATGACAGAAAATTTCCCCTACCTGTTGAAAGAAATAGACTTACAAGACCAGGAAATACAGAGAACTCCAAACAAGAGGAATCCAAAGAGGACCACACCAAGACACAATTAAAATGCCAAGGGCAAAAGACAGAGAATCTTAAAAGCAGCAAGAGAAAAACATTTACCTACAAGGGAGTGCCCATACAACTGTCAGCTGATTTCTCAAAAGAAACTATGCAGGCCAGAGGGAGTGGCAAGAAGTATTCAAAGTGGTGAATAGCAAGCACCTACAACCAAGAATACTATAGCCAGCAAAGCTATCATTTAGAATTGAAGGTCAGATAAAGAGCTTCACAGACAAGAAAAAAGTAAAGGAGTTCATCACCACCAAACCACTCTTATATGAAATGCTGAAGGGTATTCTTTAAGAAGAGGAAGAAGAAGAAAAAGGTAAAGATAAAAAATATGAACAACAAAGTGACAACAAATACATACCAACAAGTGAATCTAAAAATCAAATGAATAAAAAATCTGATGAACAGAATAAACTGGTGAATGGAATAGAATCAGGGGCATGGAAATGGAACAGACTGACAATTTTCAGAGGGAAGGGGTTGGGGGATGCGAGAAGAGATTAGACAAAGGTCTTATATGCATGTATGCATTACCTGTGGACATAGACAATAGGGTGGCAAGGGCCTGGGATGGGTTGGGAACCTG